TTCCTTGCCTCAAGCTTCCAGACTGCAATTCTTTCCACACCCTTATTAGAGCACAGCCTTCCTAAAGGGAAACCTTCCATTGCAAGAATTCTGTCACCTCCTCGTTAGGCAAACATTTTCCAGTAGCGCTCAAATTATTCTATAGTGTGTCTTTTCAATACGATTTGTGCTTCATTTCTGCCTTTGCCTTTTTTGTACACCAAATATTTCAACCAATTTGACTTTCAGACTAACACCCAGTACATTCTACATCCTGGCTCATGCCTTTTGCATTATCTGAAATAATATATTTCCTCACTATTTGAATCTGAAAATATCTAGTGTCTCTCACTGTACATTTGAGATGTGACCTCTTGTATGAAGCTGTCTCTGATTCTTCCAGCAGTAACACCCATCTGACATTTACATCTTGCTTAATACCATACCACCAAATATTGAATTTCCAATATGACAGTCACATTTGAAATTATCTCCAACTATCTTCTAGGGAAATGTTAGCTTTTCTTAGATAAGAGCTTCTTAAAATTAGGGAGTAATCTTTATAACCCATGTAGTAACTAATCATAAAATAAATTTTGCTGTTGTCTTGTTTTGTTCTTGGTACATGCTAAACATGTGCTCTACCATTGAGCTATACTATAGATCCAAGATTTTTAAAAATACATTTCTCAGATAATTGTAATAATTAGAGTCTAGAAATACAAACAGTATTATAATGTTGCAATGGTGAAGTAGACTTTAATAGGGGTCGGTGGGAATATCACAATTTAAAGAAACAAAAGGGATTATCATTCCAGGAAGAAAGTTAACAGACATAAAATATGAAATGGCTCAGTGGTGACAAAATAACATGATGCTTATTTGGGGAAAAATATTTAGATATATTTGCTTTTCAAGATCTGAAATGAATATATATCCCAAAACATATTTATTTTCATGACAGAGAAGAGAAAAAAGCAATTGATGACATTTTAATTTGGAGTTTTGCTCAATTAATTACCGGGATTTAAAAAAAATGGATTGTCTTTTACCATTATAACAAGGAAAAGATCAGCTCAAAAACAATGGAAAAAATGGATGCCAAAAATGAAGACCATTAGTTTTAGAATGTTGTTACATAAGTTATTAGGAAGTGTTCATGTTCTAAATTTACCTGTTAGGTTTAAGACCTTAGGCAATCCACTCTTGGATCTCTGTAAATATGTGTAATTAAGCAGACTTTAAGACCTATTCCAGATTAGACATATTTACATCAGTAAATATGAAAAATGGAGACAGATGGATAGGTGTAGGCAACAATGGGAAAGAAGATCTGGTAGATCTTGAGGCAAGATTGAGGATAAAGTAGAATATTGCTGATCATAATGAATAAAACAACACTCTAGAAATTTAGGCAGATGTTATTAGCACTACATTATCCTCTGAGGATTCATATACCTGGGTTTAATTTTTCAGTAAACTGGGTAATTTTTATCTGTGATATTTGTGATTGCAAAGTATCCTATTGACATATTTCTTGTGGCTTAGTCTGTCTGTCTTTAAAAACAATCATAGGGGTATACATAGTAAGATTTTTGTGTTTATATTTTAAAGAGGTAATTGTTATAGATGAAGGAAAAAGTATGAATTTTATAGCTTCTTGAGCAAATCATACATTTTGGCTAATATTAACCCTGTTTCCTTTGATATATCATCAAGGGAGCTGACAGGTAGTATTATACCCACCTATTGAGGCACAGAGGCAGTTATTGATGTGATTATGGGGCAGAATTTTGAAGAGACTGAATAAGAACAAAGAAGGTGACTACAATAGACTTCAAGTCTCTTAAAATTTTTCAGTGTTTTTTTTCTAAAACATAGCTGGATAAATTGCATTTCTTTACAGTGGATACTTTCTAAAACAGATTCCTGTTTTCTAAAAAAAAAAAAAAAAAAAAAAAAAGGTAGAACTGAAGAAATACAAGGCTGAAATAGACACAGTCCACTTAACCCAGAAAGGACCCTCCAGCATTAATTTAGGGCTAGGAGGAAGTGAGCTATAGCAGAGGTGGAGAGGACAGCAGATTTGGAAGGTCACAGGGAAGCATTCCATTGGTAATGTTCTCAAAAGTTCCACCTGAGAAGCTAGGAGTAAAGTGGAATGTGGCTTTTAGTTCCATCCCTCCAAATACTGAAAAGACATTTAAATCCTCCTCGCATATTCTTGGAGGCATTGGAAAAAGTTATAACAATGTATGGAAACAAAATTCATAATTGGTGATTTAGGTTATGAGTATGGGGGTAGAAAAGATGATAGGATGAGACAGAAATCATTACCTTGAGTACATATACAAAGACATGAATGGTGTGACTTTACTTTGTGTACAACTAAAGATATGAAAAATTGTGCTCTATATGTGTAATATGAATTGTAATGCATTCTGCTGTCATATATAACAAATTAAAAGAAAAAAATTGCAAGTATAATATGTAGAACACCAAGTTAGAGCTATTTAAGAAAAATCTTTGCCTGAATTTCTTATTTTAGAAATCAGATACCAGATATCAATATTAGTATCTACAAACATATGAAGATCTTTAACTCCAAATTTTATAAAATAACACAGATTTATTTGTGGTGATCAAGCTAATACTCCAAAATGAGCACTGTTACACAGTTCACCTTAGCTGCATGTAAAATATTTCAAGATAGTAATTATAAAAGAGTTTCATTATTTTTAACGAAAAAGATAGTGAAAACTTAATTTTAGCAAGGCATGATGGTGCAATTCTGTTATACCAGTGACTTTAAGGGGATCTTAATTTCGAGGCCAGCCTCTTCAACTTAGAGAAAGTCCATCTCAAAATAAATAAATTAATTAGAAGGGAACTTGGGTGTGTTCAGTGGTGGAGTACCCTGGGTTTAGTTCCCAGTACTGCACAAACAAAACAAAACTAAAACCTTCATCTCAGGTGAAGATCCTGAATCTGAGCTGTGCTGCCTTGTTTCTTGTCTCATATATTCTACTTGTTTCTGGAATGTCTGTGTCTTGCTTTAGATCCCTAATTACTAATTGAAAGTCTTTGCTTGTGTACTCCTTTTCAAAATGCCATCCTCGTGTACTGTGGGTTTATTTCTTCAATTTGCTCACCAAAATTCTGGCTGCAAATTGAGTCTTTCTGTCCTGCTTGTCCCCTAATTTGACACTGTGTAGTGATGAATGGACTACAGCTGTGTTCATGTAGTGGATGTTAAACCCCCTTTCGAGCCGCATTCTTCGGCATAGACTAGGAGGTCTGTGCAGATTCTCACTGTTGTAGAATTATGATGTTTTCTTGTGCAACACACACACACATACACACACACGTGCCTTTCAATAATTAAGCTGCATCTTAGAATTCACTAGTTATTTGCTTAATGACAAGCAGTGTGTAGTTTGCATGATGATCATGTGAAAAAATATCCAAACATACACACACAAAAGAAATGTTAATGGTTATTCTCTTAAAATGATAGAATTGTGAATTATTTCTTTCTTCATATTTTCCTAGCCTTTTATATATCCTCTAAGTAAAGTTGCTTTTCACAATAAAGCATGATTAAATATTACTGTCCAATGATATCTGTGAAAAGAAAGGAATAATAACCTGAGCTTCTAAAACCCAAGTTGGTCCTTCAAAAATGGAACAGATCAGGTAAATTGATAAGGGACAAGGATGCCAAAAGAAAAAAAGAAAAGAAGTAGAATGTACTTATTTATGAGACAATCTTTATTTATAGGCATCCCTGTGGAATTGTATAAGTATTGTATCTCCCCATCTAACTAAAATTTGTAACAAACCCTAAGTAGGGATGCTAAATACAGTTGTGTATTGTCCTTAGGTTGTACATTTGGCCAATCCGTAGCAACTGAAAATGCCTCTTCTAAAACATTACTGTTTCATTATTCAATGGTACATCTAAGTTTGTTTCTTCTCTTTCGATTTGAAAAGAAAATAAAGTGTGTGCTTTCAATGAAAGAAGGATTACTTGTCCTGTACATTTCAGTTGGAAGAGGGATGCTGGAAGAACTACCTTTAATTTTTAAACACATATTCAGTACAATTCTCAAGTGGTGATCATCAGATATCTATTTTGCTGGACATAGAAAATACGAATGACTGAATCAATGCTCAAACTCAACCCTGAGAAGTCACCTGGGGAGATGTGAAGACAAGAAGCCAAAGTTTTCTGTGCAGTCTCTCCATCTTACTTTATAATATGTATATTGATCTAGGGATTCTATTTAATATTTTACTTGAAGAAGCATCCCTCTACTTATTTTCACCTTATTGCTTTCCCCCACATCTCCAGAATTCTTTTCCTTCTTATTCTATTCATTCTTCAAAGCTCTCCTCAAATTACACTCACTCCATTAATAAAGTCTCTTTCATCCTTTGTCACTCATGCTTATCTCCAGCTCTCTGACAGACATCTGAGTTTATGGTCAGTTCCAATATTGTGATTTTTTTTTTAATACTGTGAATGAATTCGTTTCCCTGAGCGTACCACAAATGTCTTTTAGTCCTTACTTAGATGTTACATTTTATAACACATCAATGTATTGACTATCCAGCTTACAACACAAAAACATTTTTTTTAAAACTGAAAACACAGCATCTGACTCAATATAATGATATTTGCCTCATATGTGCATAGTGAAATGCAGTTTTTGAACCATTGTGGTTCTTTTTCTCTGCTCCAAGTTTTTGGGACCTAGGAAAGTGTTAGCCCCACATAAATATTTAATACCTATTTTAGTGATTTAATTTGGGGCTATGTCATCTTTAGCAGTAGAGAACATTACTGTTCTCAATAGCAGAGTAATTCTCCATTCAGAAAGATCCATCTTATTCATTCTATCATATTGTACAACAAACAAATAACTTTGGATTTCCTCATATAACTGTCCTAACAAATGATGAATCCATTTTCCTTATTATTTATAAATTATCATTAGTAACTGTATGTTTTTTTTAAGGTCCTCCTGGACCCCCAGGTGAAAAAGGCGACAGAGGTCCGATTGGAGAGAGTGGTCGGCCTGGCATTCCAGGTCCAATAGGTACGGTCATTATATCTACTTAATCATCTAACATAAGGCTCAGTTGTACATCTATGAACGTGTGCAGGTGGAATAATTATTTTGTGTACTGTGGTTTCTGCAAGTGCACATATTGAAGGAGATATTATATGTTCTAGTCAAAATAATCATATATCAGCTGGGTGTGTTGGTGAATGCCTATGCTCTCAGCAACTCAGGAGGCTGAGGCAGAAGGGTCATAAATTCAAAAGCCAGCCTCAGCAAAAGTGAGGCACTAAACAACTCTGTGAGACCCTGTCTCTAAATAAAAATACAAAATAGTGGTGGGGATATGTCTCAGTGGTTAAGTGTCCCTGAGTTTAAGCCCCCCAAAATAATCATATATAAATATATATGTGTGTGTGTGTGTGTGTATATATATATATACCTATCTGAGATTGAATGACAAGAGGTGACTTGATTTTTTTAAAACAATTAAGTGCTTTAGCCAGAGTCACTACTGGAATTATTCATGAGTCGAAGGGTGTCATTTCTGTCATGGACAGCAAATAATATATTGCACAGCTAACTTCAGGTCACATATGAAGAATTTAAAAAATCATCTTTGCATTGCATAAATTTGCAAGATCTTGTTTTTAAGATACAAAAATATCTTAATATGAGTCAAGGAAAACTTGAGTGTCTTTCTTATGTAATTTTTGACCAGACTATATCTGCTTAAACTCACAAAATGTGAAAGCAAATATTGGCTGGAATAAAGATGGATTTTACCTTTGCTGTTGGCCACTCTCTGTATTTTAGTTACAGCAATATTATTTTAAATCATTTCTCTCTATGTTGTAATCTTGAAAGCAATATTTTGAAAGAAGATAATAGAAAACACAGAAAAGGAGAGAGAGAGAGAGAGAGAGAGAGAGAGAGAGAGCGCATGAACTTTCTTTGCTCTTAATAAAATGAAAAAAAAATAACAATAGCATGATTGTCCTACTTCACTTGGCTAGAAATCAAACACCCTACATGCTGTTTGAAAGTCGAGAATATACTGCATGGCCTAATTATAACTAGAATGATTTGTGCTGCCAAAATTATCAAAATACCTTGTAATTCATCCTGTTTCTCTGTGTTTTGACAGATCAATGTATCGATTAACCCTGGTTACATAAGAAAAACATTTTTTTAAAAAATTTGACACTTAACTGACCTTTACCATTATGCTTAAAAATCAATATATACAGTTTATATTTTTAAAATATTGTTAAAGACTCTCTCTTGCCACGTTTTATTGTGTGTATCCTGTGTGTGTGTGTGTGTGTGTGTGTGTGTGTGTGTACCAGTGGGTTGGTGTTGATGTGCCTTTGAAAGTGATATCACGTAAGACTTTTTATTCAGAAAGATTCTTCTAGTTGACTAGTGCTCAGCAGATCTTAACAATGGTACATTAATGTCATAAGCAGGGGAAGTTACCAGCTTTATAGCAGCTGCCAGAGCTACTGTTGTCAAGGATCTGTCGGCTCCTTTATTACAAACTGCAATGGTCAAAGCTTTATAAATCAACCAAAACCTCCAGTCTGTGACACAACTTGCTACTCCAGACTTCATCTTGGGGAGCATCTTTTGCAGCTCATTCTGTGGATACTTAAGACAGAAAGAGGGATTTAAGTTTCCACTTTCATTAATGCCATAGGCAACATCACAAAGCTTCTTGGATTCAGTTAGCCAGGGCTCAGTTTGGTTTAGCTGTTACTGCTTATTTCCACAAATAGGTATTGCCCAGTGCTCTCATTAATTAGAATTAGACATAGTTGTTGCTGTGATAAATCAGCTGTTTTAGGCTATCAGATTCTCCTTTGGTTTCATTCATGGCAACAAAACTTTTCAAATTATGAAACATCTCTCCTAATGGATTCTTTCAAACTTAATTGCTGTATTCTCTCTAGACTCTGCTGGATTATCTAATTGCTTCAAATCTGACACTGAGATCAGGAACTAAAGACTGCATGGTAGACAGTCACAAAAATTCTGCTCTATGAATTGAGGAAGTTCATAAAATCCCCTACCTATACATCCATTTAAATGCACTAAACTTAGCTAGACAAAGTCAACACCTATACTCACAACTGTGATATGAATATCTGAGAAATTTAAGTGGGCATCAGAGTGGTCTTAAGTAACCAATACATTAAATACATCATATTTATTAGTCATGCACTAGAGTGGATATTATAATAAAATATTCTTTAACTCAAAATAATATAATAGAAATTAATTTTAAAGTGCTAATTCCTTGGAAGCACAAAGAAAGTATAATCTCTCCCTTTCACCCAAAAAATTCTATACTAAGCACCTTTTCCATACCTGTGGTTCTGCAATACATTGTGGAGGAAACAGAAATTGTGCTAATTTCAGAGCTTACAATATGAGTAATTTTATCAGGGAGATGATCAAGGATTCTTGATGATCTTATCCTTTTGAAAACCAGATTTATGGTTATTCTCTCATGACAACAATGCTCAAAGAAGAAACACCTCCTTAGTTTCCAAAGGAAAATTTGTAGGCTAGGTAATGGAATATTTACACTTAGTGGAAAAATAGCAAGGTAGCCTGACCTATAGACACAGGAAGGGGTCCCTCCAAATGATGCTTTGAGAGAGAACTTAAGTCTCCACTGGGCACAAAATTTTCATCATCCACCAGTACTATGTATTTTTCTTGCATAGCCTAAGTTTTCCACCATGGGAATCAAGCTCCTGTAGTAGAAAATAGAGTCTATCTTGATTGTGGATGTTGGGAGATGGGAACCATATTTTATTAATATTTATATTCATGTATTTCTCTACTTCCACTCCAACCCTTTTTCCCTGTTGCACTCCAGCAAGGGCTTTCCCTAAGGCTTCAACAAAGACAGAATCCCTAAATATATGTTGAGTAGGGAACTTTGCCAACTGCAGGCTGTTTCTCTGTGTGCTGAGTATTGAAAGCAGATTTCTTATGGAGGTTAAAGATAGTGTTAATAAATCCAACAATGCCACTAATAATTGTGTACATATTATTAAATATAACTAAATTAGCAGCCTTCACAAAATGTTGGTGAAAATAATGATTTTGTTATGGGAGTAGAGAAAGAATAAAGAGGAGGAGGAGGAGGTGGAGGAGAAGAAGAAGAAGGCTAACATGAAGTGTTCATTATATGATAGACTCTTTTCTAAGTGTTTTTATATTTATTACTTCTAGCCATCACATTTGTCTGTGATGGACAGACAAATAATAAACCTATTGAACAGAAGGACAGGGAGGCTAAAATGACTCACTCAAGGTCAATGAACAGCAGATAAATGCCAGAGATGGTATTTGAATGCTAGTGAGCACAATGGCAGAAAGAAGTCTGAATGGAGAGCTGAGAATCCAGGATATATGTGAGTAATTATCAGGCCAACTTTATGCAAGTGACTTGATCTCTGAAGGTCTATGTCATTACACTCACATTGTTTGTGAGTTAGAAGCTGGCACAAATTCTTAAAGAAAATTAGCTGAATGCTACCAGAAAGGCTCAGAGAATCCAGTCTCCTGGAATAAAACTCAACAGTGGAGTTTATGGTTAGGGGCTATATTTCAAACCAACAAGTCACATAACTCTCTATACCGTATAGAATCTGCTTCAACTTTTCCCATAATGGTCTAAGAATTCATTGATTTCTATGAAAATATCCCATGAGCTTCATTTGGGAGTGTATTTGTTCACTTGTAGAAAATGTACCATAAATCCAACAGCTGCATTCTGAGTGTTACTGTGATACAATCAATGAGCCATCATCAGAGAGGTCCCTGCTCTCCTTCTCTAAAGAAGATCCCAAGGCATTGTAGGTGACAGCGCTTAGGTTTTCCCAAATTACCTTCTTTATTTATTTGTTGCTTATCTCACCATCTGTCTCTCCTACTGTGTCACCACGTTGGAAGATCTTTTTGGATAAGGATATTTTAAACTCTAAGAATATGCAGAGACTGGCACTGTATGTGTGCTCAATAGATATTTGTTCACTTAATGGAAAAAACAGTAGAAATAGGAATTACTTGTGAACAGTGCACTATTAAGATTCATAAAATATTTACTTTTTTTAAATGAGAGAATTTAGTGTCAGTGCTTCTTTTATTTTTTTTTATTTGTTCTTTTTAGTTATGCATGACAGTAGACTATAATCTGACATATCATACATACATGGATTATAACTTCCCATTCTGTGGTTGTACATGATGTGAAATTACACTGGTCATGTATTCATATATGAACATAGGGAAGTTATGTCTGATTCCTTCTACTGTCTTTTCTATTCCTATTTTTCCCTTCCCCCCTGTTCAATTGCTGAACCTCCACTTCTTCCCTGCCCCCTATTGTTAGTCAGTATCCCCTAGAAGATAATAATTGCTAATTCAGAGATATGACTATAGTGAAGGAAGGTATAAATATATATTAGGTTGCCCTGAGAATATATGTTAGACTTTTTTAGACAGTATGATAAAAAAATCCAAACAATATATACTACATATATATATATATATATATATATATATATATATAATTATGTAAACAAATTAGTATATATTGAGTAATTAAGTTAACTCTTCTTTTAAAACATATGCTTAATTTCTGATGGAATCAAAGTTTTACACTGAGTTGAATATTATTTCTTACTATTTATAATAATATATTTAAACTGAACATTTCTTAGGGTCAGCCAAATTTGGGGTGTCTATGTGAATGAATCTCAAGAAATGATTTTTAAAATAAATTAAATATGTATAAATTCTTCCTCCTGAATCCTGTGAACTAAAGGCAATATTCTAAAAGGTTGATACTAGAGAAAGAAATTAATCAAGCCTCTTTTAATGTGGCTCCCTAAAAGATTCAACTGAAAATTGAATTAATGGAATCTCTATGAATGGATAATTACACTTAAAATAAGAAAATAAGACATAAACTATTTTATGTTAGTTTGTTTCAATCACTGAACTCTAGGATGAAAAATTTTATTCCAGAAGAATATAATATTTTATTCCATAGGCTTTCATGGCCACGATAGATATGGGGTAAAAATAATGGCCATTTCAATTTTAATTTAAGTATATAAAACCTTTGACTTATATATGTATGTACTATATACCCATAAATAAGTCTGTGTGTGTCTGTGTGTGTGTGTGTTTACATTATATGGGATTATAAAGGAATATGTAAGAACATGTCTAAGAGACATGAAGCAGTTAACTGAAGAACTAGTACTCCAATTTTTAAATAAATATCCTTTGGTAATTTTCATTGCCTGAGTTTTAATTTTTCTAAGACAAATCTTAAAAATTCAATTTTTAGAAAATCATCATTTCAGTTAGAGCAAAATGCGTCATCTAAAAAGATTCCTGATTCATTACATAAACCTTCTAATCAAAACTCCAAGATTTTTTCTTGTATGTTTTTACTTCTAACATTATGTTATTTGTTGAATATCTGAAATGTATTAAATGCACTAATGTTTAGACCTATTTTATCTTTCAGTGGCACAAGTGAAATTTTAGAAAAGAAACTATCCTCAATTAGAGATTCACTTATTTCATATTCATTTGTAATACCCTCAAAACTATGTAAACAATGAACTGTTAACCACTTTCTTTTTTATTAACCATGCAGGTCCTCCAGGTCATAAAGGTGATCGGGGGGCAACTGGCTTTCCTGGATCAAGGGGACTCCCAGGATTTACAGGAAAGGCGGGGAGGACAGGTACTTTAATACTGTGCATTCTGCTATCAAATATGCAAATAAAACATCAGATCATCATTTCTGAAAATTTCTTGGACAACAAAAAATTGCTCATCATAATAGGAATAGTAGCACACACATGTAGTTTATTTTGTGGTCTGAAAATTTTTTGAAGCTGGTTTCTGTCCACCTGAGGAAAGCTTCTGTGTCCTGAAGGAAAATAGTTTAAAAACACATACACACAGGAAGGATTTATGCACTCTATACAATCATAAGTCACCATGAAGAATGGTATCTATCTTAGAGCAAACAGAGTGGAAAGACTGGCAAAGAAAAACAAACTAGCAAAATATAAATACCCCTGTAACCACACCGGCCAAACGCTGTTAAGACACAGTTGGCAAAATGCTGAAATCTTATTTCATGTGCAATAAACTTCTTTCTATATTTATTAATGCTTAATAATCAACAAGGTTCAGCTCTTTAACATTTATACAAATGACAACAGTATTGCCACCAATGAGGCCAATAGCCTAAGCTTGGACAGTGTACTCTGCATAGCAATTTTCGAAGGAAGTAAGCCAAATTTTTTTGTAATATCAATTATTACCAAGAGAAAAAGATCCCTGTTGTTGATGTAATTTTTAACATTTTATTTTTAGAATAGTTTTGGGTTTATAGGAAAATCACACAGAAGACATAGAACTCCAATGAACTACCCACCCACACAATTTCCCCCATATTAACATCTTGAATCAGTATGATAAATTTGTAATGATTAATAAACTAGTATTGATACATTATCATTAACTAAAGTCTTACATTAGGGTTTACTGTTTGTGTTTTGCATTTTATGGGTTTTGGCAAGTGTATAATGTCATGCATCCATCATTACTATATGTCCATCCTACAGTATATTTTCACTGCCCTAAAGATCCCCTATCTTCCATCTGCTCATCACTACCCTCTGCCATGGGCCAAGCCCTTAGACACCATTGATTTTTGTACTATCTCCATAGTTTTGCCTTTTACAGTGTCATACAGCTGGCAACACACAGTTCGTTGTCTTTTCAGACAAGCTTCCTCCACATAGCAAGATGTATTTAAGGTTTCTCTCCATCTTTTCATTACCTGTTTGTTCATTTCTCTTTATTATTCAATGATATTGCATTTTATGGATTTATGATAATTGGTTTATCCTTTTACCTAAGAAATAAATCTTGGTTTCTTCCAAGTTTCAGCAACTATTAATAAAACCACTCAAACACTTTATTAGCATGTATTTGCATGGACCAAAGTCTACCTAGGAGTATATTTACTGGATCGCATGGCAAACATATTTATTTTTTAAGAAGCGGCTGAACTGCCTTCTAAAGTGACTCCACTGTTTTGCATTCCTACCAATGAATAAGAATTTCTGTTGTGCCACTTGCTCACTGACATTAGGTTTCATCAATGCTTTGGATTTTAGAAGTTCTAAGAAATGTGTTGCAGTGTTGTTGATGATATCAGTTTTTATATGACAGCCACAAATAAGCAACCTGTAATTAGTCTCCACTAGAGATGTGATTATCTGAAATGAGTGGTGTGTTTATGTACCAACTACCTCTAAACTATCTACCTTCAATCAGGCTCTTTGGGCAATATAGGAAGAAGTGTGTGTTCATAATTTGTTTAAAATTATCTACAACATCAGGGATCTCATTTCCAATATGGGCAATTTGAATTCAATAGACAAATATATTTAGAACCTTAAATTTGATGCAATTTCAAAGCTTATAGTTACAAGATAATTTAAAATAATTTTGTGAAATAAGAAGAAATAATTTAACTGTACTGTAAACTTAAAGTAAAAATGAATCTATTTGTCTATGATCCATCTGAAATAGTAATGGTCATTTAGCTTCCCAGGAAAACCAAAATAAAGTTTTGTTTTGGAATCTTTTTATACTTTCCTAGTTTTATAAAGCTACAAATTAACATTAAATCAAATATCCAAGACATAGCTATGCAAAAAGACTTTCAAGAATGATGCACAGTCTTTTTCTCTTTCCTAATTGTGAAATTAATGCTGAAGTAATGAAATTAAGCAGTATAGTATGTTATCTTCTCTGTAAAGAATTAGTACTGATTAGTTTTATCTTGTTTTAACTCCCTAGACCATTTTTTTCCTTTAATTTCTTAGATTTTTCCTCTTGAACATCTGAAAATTTGACACTATGACAAATTTAGGTCAAAAAGATAAGAGAGGTTTGGTGGGCTTTGGGTTACTTAATGGTTTTTGTTTTGCCAATTTAATACTACTTGAAATTATTCAATCAAAATTATGAAGTTAATTTAATGATACAGAATAAAATAACAATATGTAAATTAATTCAAAACTAAGAAATTCTCTTTATATTATTCTAATACGAATAGTTGGACTTTCATTATATCTTCAAAATAAAATTCAATTGGAAATAATTTGTACATTTTAAGTGCTTCAAGTCTTATACTCATTACATACCACATTTTTAAAGATTTGATATATTAGAGGTCAGAAGAAATCTTCTAAATGGCATATAAAGACAAATGTCCAAAACTAAGCACAGATGTAGACAAAATAAGCTAGAGAAATCAACAGGTGAATCAATAAATAATATTACAACTTTAAATGGAATTTTAAAAAGTATGCCACAAAAATTAAATTGAGATGAAAAGGTCTTTGTCTTTCATTCATTGAGAATAAAACTTCAGGCATCAGATTCTAGCTAAGCTATGGGAGATTTAAAAAAAAAAACGGAAATAATAATAGAGGAGCTCCCATCTCTTATGAACAAGTGCTTTGCAAATATTGTTACTCATTTTCAAGGCAACTCTCTGATGAAAGAATTATTTCTTTTTAAATTTCACAGAAGAATATGCTTTAGCTCTAGAAGTTGAAAGACTGTTGTCAGCCACATTTCTATTAAGTAACAGAGCAGACTAAGTCAACATAGAGGTCTTCAAACCATTAGGATCATTCAAAATTCTGTTGTTTTTAAACTACATCCCCTAGAGCCTACATCCCATAGTGTATTTTGGATGGAATTATGGAGATACTTGATTTTTTAGGGGGAAATAAAAAATATTAACAAAATTTTGATCTTCAGCCAGAAATCATTAGAATCAGTCCTATGTTTATGCTAAGAAGGTAATTCCTTAGACGATAGATATTTGATGCCTGTTGGAAGAATTAATAATCAAGAGCAGCACTACTGTCATGAAATTTCACCATAAAAATCACTTGTTAGTACTAAAGAAAGTTTTCCTGAGTATCCCTTAAAAATGTAACTGTGTGTGAATTAGCAAATCATTAGCAAAGATCAAGGTCTAGCAATATTTCCAGGTCTATTTAAATAAAATCCTTGCCCCCTATAAAATGATAATATTTGTACTACATCTTTATGTAAATGGATGCTGGTTTTTGAAGTCAAAAGTGACCAGCCTAGGGGTTCATATGGTGCACGGACCTTTTTGCCCTCTGTCAGGAACTAGGTTGTCAGAATCTAAACACTCTGAGCAATCCATTCACAGCCTAGTGCTTTGGCTGCTAAGCCATAAAAGAATGGAAAATGAGACAGGTAAATTATAATAGGAAAAAAAAAACAGTCAGGTTTAGGATAAGGTGCAAGATACTGGGCGTTCCCAGGATGGTAGGGAGGCACAGTCAGATGAAGAGAAAAATATAAGAATACATAAGTACAAAATAAACTATTTACACTTCAGCTCTGCTTGTTTTACAAAAATGGAATATGCATCACCTTTGTGATAATTTAAGATAGTATACCAGGTTTGCAATAGTTTTTCAAAAATGATAGCAATTATTATTATTATTATTAACATCCGCATGATTATTATTTTGCAATATCTATAGGTTGCTATACATTGATATTTTAGATTGACTGGTGATGCCCTGTCTCCATTTAATGCAGCATTGTTGGGGCTGGAAGTGCAGCTCAGTGAGGGTGTGTGCTTAGTACCAAAAAACAATTTCTTTTTTTGTTATTGTTTTTTAAAGGAAATCCTGGACAAAAGGGCCAAAAGGGAGAAAAAGGAAGTGGAAGCACATTCAGTAAGTTATTGTTTCTCATTTTCTCTATGCATTTTTGTAATCAATAAGATTGTGATATCGGTGGTCTGAGCTTGAGACAAACGTTGAGAAATTCAGCATTGATCCATGGAGAGTCTGTGGAAGCCAGCCACAGTTTTCTACAAATAAAACATGCTAATTGGAGTAAAACAAATAGATGAGATTATGCAACTCTTTCAATCTCATTACCCATTTGTATTCTGTTTTTGTGATGAGTACTATTTTCTAAAAATTCCACATAGAAAATTGTTCAATTCTCAAGTCAATTTCTATCCACTGAGGGAAAATCAAGCTTATGAATAGAAACAATTACAGCCTCCTTACCTACTAAAACTGAGCGAACTGAAACCTTATATGTAGGAATTTAGACAGCCCAAGAACCCTGATAGATTAATTCTCTGAAGGCTGTGTTGGTCAGGGGCTGAGGAGGGTGTTTTGTTTTGTTTTACTGAAACCTTGAAAAGGTCACATTCCATATTCTAGACTTTAAGACCTGCAACAGAATAGATTTAGCAGCTGGGATCTTTGTCAGTGGAATGCAGACCCCAGGTTGCCATGTAGAGAATCTATAAAATGGACCTCAAAAAATAAGGTCATCTTATTGTTAAATGAAATGTGCATTATTTCTTGTGTGTCTAGGTGAAATTTTCATTAATACAATGAAAGGGTTATGAAGAGGAACGAGGCTTCTTTACCATTAGGAGTGCATGTAGTGTGTGTGTGTGTGTGTGTGTGTGTGTGTGAGAGAGAGAGAGAGAGAGAGAGAGAGAGAGAGAGAGAGAGAGAGAGAGAGAGAGAGAACAGCTGAGGTGAACAGAGTCGTAGTCTATTCAGGGGTGCATTTTAGACAGATTATAGCAAATCCTTTGATGTACCAAAATCTTGCAATTTTTAGTTGTAATGCTTGTTTTAAAAAATACAGTACCAGTATATCTCTGCTTTCACAAAAAATGATTTTTAACCTAATACCATGTATGGGTGGCACATTTAGACAATGTAGAGTTATGATTGTGAATATCAGCCAATAGCAGGATCTTTCAAAGTTGAACAACTCAGAATATTGTGTATCTCTTAGAGTGTTTGATATTAGAGACCATTATCATTTTTATGATTATATTAAGATAATGGGAGCATTAGTATATTTTTGTGTTCTCTTTTTTGTGTATTTTTCCTTTGAGATGGTCACTTTTACACAAAATTCTTCTTATTCTCCTTTGTCCTTTTCCTCCATTTAAGTTCAGTTGAGCTCTTCTTGTCAGTCTCTCTTCCCCAGCTTTATGTGTATCTTTATCTCTACCTTTACTTTTTTTTTTCTGTCTTTATTTTCTTTCCCTGAGGCTTTCTCTGAGCTTCTAAACACTCACTCTAGTTGAGTTTGGAAACTAAGGAACTTATTTATTTATTTATTTATTTTGTCTGTAAACTGAACAGTCACACTGTCTACTGTTACCTGGGGTTATCAAATGCTTGGAAGATTTTTTTCAAATATGTTTGGAAATGTTGTCAGTTTCAGATTTTTCAGGGCTATTTTGGAGTTCATGTGCATACTTTCTTTGACAAAGCCATAGAGGGCTACTTATGTATATATGTGTACATAACCTCCATATTCCTCTCTGTGCCTACCCCAAAGAATATATATCACAAATTCACAATATTTTGAAAAGGAAGAATCATTTACATGTACATCTAATATAATGCACTCTATATTTTTCATGTTTAAGTTGATGTGTCTGTCATCTGTCTTTGTCACTATATATGGCTCTCTTTCCTCTGAATGACCACACATTACTCCAATATTCAGCTGTTCCATAATTATCATAATAGAATCATTCAGTCGCTAATCTTAAACCCTCAATTTTGCTTGGCTTTAATAAATAATGCTAATATTCAACAACTTCATACATGATATTGTGAGGATAATTTTTAGTATAGGATTTACTCAAAGTTGAACCAATAGTTCAAAGGTTATATGCATATTTTTACAATTTGATTAATTCCAACAAATGGCTTCATAAAGGTTGTACCAACTTATGCTGAATAAAAATAACTTGCTCCCCACATAATTAATTAACTGTGGTATATGAAAGGATCATATTGAATTATTTTGATATATATTTGTGTATGTTTCAAACACAATTTAAATGTAATAAAAATAACCATTGATTTCCTCTTTTATATATATGTCAGGACCAGTACAACTTCCTGATCATATTAGGGGAGGACCCTTTTAAGATCAGGTGGGTTGGGCAGGACACTCTCTGACTCCATCTAATTAAAAGGCCTTTCACCTCTGGACAGGTCATCAACACAACTGACTTCCAAGATCCCTTTTGTGACTCCTCCAAATGACCTTGGTTCCTGTGTCAAGCCTGGCTTCTACTGGCTTCTTCTCCTGATCCTTGGTGCTGTTTGGGTCTCCACTGCCACATTCATACATTCTCCACTCTACTACCATCACCCCTATCCCCTTTGCACCCCTTGCCTGACTCTCCCATGCAGTGACTGGTGGGGTGCCCAGGCCTATCCTCAGGTACCAGACCAGCAGCCCTCTGCTGTTCACTCTCTTAGTCATTCTAATCCCTCTTTAATTCATCGGATCCTAAGGAGAATTGATCATATGAGAACTGATTATATGTGGTTCTTTAAGTTAAAAACATTATTCTCAACCAAGGTTAGGGATGGCATAGAAGAAAATCTATTCATTCATTCATTCATTCATTCACTTAACATATGTTCACTGTATTCATCCAGAAACAGGATGTAACAACTAGTGAGATAGACATTGTCTCTGGCCTTGCAGAGATAATTGTGCCTGAGAGATTCAGACAAGCCAGCAATTAGAACATGCTAGAGCTCTATGGAGAAAGAACAGGACTTTATAAGTGTTCAGAGGAGATAAAGATTCCCTAGAATATTAAAAAATAGATTGATTTAGTTTTCTTAGTTTACCTTCCTTTCTGATCTCCAGCTTATAGCATATTATTTTTCAAGTTTTAAAAAAGTAAGGTAATGTGGAGCTTTGGATAATTTATTCAACACATTTGAACCAAAATGTGTTTCCTTAAATTACCTATTTCAAACAAAAACATCTTACATATGATAAAACAATGCTGAAAAAAATTACAACAAATCTCTCTGTATTTTAAGCTTTAAGTATAGATTCTGGAGAAAAATAAATATTTTAGTAGAAGTAGAGTTATTTTGTGTAGGTGAAGAAGAGGAAGAAATTGAAGAAGTGGGAAAGGCAGACAAAAACATATTGGAAAAATGTGGGATGATCCCATGTTATTTTTGAGTGCCTCTGTACTGAGAAATGTGTGACCACATTTTCACAGCTCTCCTTTTCTTCAAGTTTTAACACACAGCCCCAAGGTTTACACCATTAAGTTTCTTGTAGAATTCCATGTAGTATGTCTATGTGTCTCTCTTCATTTCCTTTCCCTGCCCTTGTTAAATGGTCACGTTAACACCTACCTCACAGGGTTGTTGTGAGGACCAAATGAGATATCCTGTGTGTGAAGATGCTCTGTAAAATCATAAAGTGCTTTAAAATCATAAGATATGGTTCACAGTGGTCTCTCTGAACGGAAACTGCTGTTCCTCTCTGGTATAATGCAGACATTTTAAATCTGCAGTTGTAATAAGAGAGAAAGTAAAATGTAAATGCAAGGAGCTAAATAAATGTCATGGATGAAAAAAATGCTAGAGAATAAGATAAGATTTTATATTAGAGCAATGCAAGTGTGACCAGATCACAAATCAATGAGTCTGTGTAAAGAGCATTAGTTATAAATAAAAGAAATGACTACACAGTGTGCACACCAGAGGATGGAAACTGTCAACAGAGATCAGAACAAAATGTCAGGAGAATAAAACAAGTATTTGGACTCTGAAAGACACAGCCTGAGCCCAGGATGCTTCTGTTGAGAACATACTAAGAAGGCAGGAACAAATTAGTGTTTCAATGAAACTGGCTTGTTTCTATTACTGCATGACCCCAGAATCTCCAGGGATGAAAGAAAGGGATGATTAGCCAATTTTTTAGAGTTCTCAGTATCAGCAAACCATCACCATTGAATAGCTAGTTAGTGCAAACATCTAGAGATAAATTGGGCCTCTGTCCATGCTTTAATTTGATGTGATTTCCTATCCCACATTTCACTAGAGGCCAGGCTGAATGTGGGAGATGTCTCCTGCCACCAGGTCTTGATCCATACTGGCTAGAGAATGACCCTGAACCCAGAGATCCTGGGAGGCAGTTCCAGGGGATTCAATTCACAAGTCATTGGATATCCCAGACTAAATATAGATTTTTGAGACAAAAAATAGATGTTGTCCAGTCTGAATGCACCCACTTCACCAACTTTATCAATGTACAATGAAAAGGAATCTATACCAAACCCCAAGGTTGGTCTCAATGAATTGTTCACTATGTTCTCACCCTAAATGAGAAGAACAAGTGTTTCTTTTTAAGTGAAAGAATTCCTACCATTCAATTAAACACTTTGTGAGGCTCTGTCCTACACAGTCACATTATGGAGGTGTGGTTTGTTAGTATCTTTTACTATGTTTTGCTCAGACCGAATGAGACTATAAGAATTTTGAGTATCTTATTCAGAATCTCGTACAAAGAGAAGAAAAATCTATTTGTCTTTGGTTTCACTTCTATTGAGGACTCAATTCAGTCTCAAATTTTTCAAAGTACTCAGATCACTAATTTTAATAATGAACTCTTAAGGGTACTGGCTGAACACCATGTGCTTTTGATACATCATTCTATCTAAATTTCAGAAGAGTGATCAGGGTAATTACTATTAGAATCTCCATTTAATGGATTAAAAATTGAGGCCTACTGCTAATAAGTGGAAGAGCAGAAACTCAAGCCAAATCTATCATTCTCCAAAGTCCCTATGACTTTTATTCAACATCTCACACTAGTTTTAAATGTGTGTGTGTGTGTGTGTGTGTACACACGAATAAATAGTACAAATAGTTAATAGGGAGCCTGTGGAAGCAGGGGAGAAAACAAGATTTGTAATGAGCAGTTGGATTTCCTAGAATAAGCCTTATAATTTGAGGGCTCTAAGAAGATATAAAGTCTTATAGTAGGTCAAATTTTAAAAAAAGCGTTTTGATTAATCTTTATTTGCTTATGTTTCCACCTTTGTAACCGCTCTAGACATTGCCTGCAGTCTCTCCCCAAAGAATATTACTCAGAAGCATAGACTCCTAGAATGCTCACAGGGCGTCCATTATCACTAATGAGAGTTACTTATGTGTACCTGGGGAAGAGCTACCTGTTAATATTCCATCTTGATTTCAGTAACTGGCTCAGTTTTAACATTTTTTAGTATCATTTGGCTGCTTTGATCTCTCTCTTCTTTTATTGTGTTTCTTTTTTTAACTCCACAGTGTTCTTTCCTTAGTCACACTAATTATGAGCTAGCAGAGCAGAATATACCTGAGAGTAATGATGACTCTAGGTAAATTAGATAAATGCTACTAATTCTTGATGGTAATGTGGTGCTTACAGCTTGCTGGGATTGCACAAATTGTTGCTAAAGACATATAGCATTTCAGTAACACAATAGGTATGTTCTTTAATAGCATAAATATCCAATATGTCTTTAAATTTAAATGGATATTTAAATCAGTAATAGATCAAGCAGTTAGCACTTGTCCTATTTAGTTCCTACCCCAAATAACTCTTGCAGCCTGACTCACCAGAGTCAATTGGAAGGGGAAAAATAAATCAATACAGATCCATCCAGGTCTTTTGCACCAGCAAATTTGAAATTCATCCAGTATGTGCAGGAATGCAGATGGAGAAGAAACATCTGACACCCTGCTTCCCAGCCCTCCACAATCTCTGAAGACCAAAAAACTTTCTTGCCCCTCTCCAAAGATCTTCAAAGATCCTATTCTGCTGCAAGAAATTTAGCTTTACGTGAACTAACACAAGGTCATTTACTTTGTTCAAATTAAAGCACCTCTGAGGATAGGTTCACAATCTATTATTTGGTCCCTTAACCTGCCATCTCTAGAAATGTGCTGCTCTCATAATGTGAATCTCAAGACCAAATTCCCTAGAACAACATAGATTGCTTGCACATGAAGTGTCCAGGAAATTCTTCCCATTACGACTTAACCAACAGACTCTTGATTTTTCCCTGGTGCTACTGTTATTCTCTTTTTTTACTTCCCTGAAATCCTCACATAATGCTTGATCCACTTCAAAGTCAAATACCTGAATTCCAGGTAAGTTAGAAAGCTATTTACAAGATTCTAATGTGAATTCTTCAGCAAATGACCCTACTACCTAATAATGTTTTGTATAAATCTGAATTTTCACTTCCCAGAAATGCTGACCCATAAAGCTGAATATAAACATCAGTTTCTGTGCACAACATTTTCACAAAAACTCCACATGGCATTCAGCATAATACCTCTGCCACCTGCAAAATGATTAGCTATCTTATCGTGAAATATCCTCCACCCAGAACTCTTTCCTGTTATATTCTTAAATCTCATAATCAGTACATCAACTATACCCAAGGATATAATTTCTGGGCACCAAAAGAAGACATAACATATTAATCATGGAGAGTAACCAGTTGAATAAATTATTATTAATGTATTCAGGTATTATTGAGGTAGTTAAGGTCCTTAATAAGTACTTCTGTAATTTTTAAATAGGACCTTCCTTCCTTCCTTCCTTCCTTTTCCATCATTAAGTTACACCCATAGCTCTTAAATGAGATTTTTAAGTACTCATTTTTTTTTAAACAAGATGTTTGTTGTGCTGAAATCACATCCTAGTTAGTATATTTGGTGCTTTAATTACCATCTGTGAATTAAAGAAAATGTTTATATTTTCAACTTTATGCCACCAAGGTTCTCTATTTATCCTCTTTCTTATAAATATTCCAAAATGCAAAACATAAGTGAAAAGGGGGAAAGGAAATTGTGTGAGTCTGGTTGTAATACCAAAACAGAACACCAAAAGTTGGTAGCTTAAATAACAAATTTATTTTCTCATGGTTCTGGAGACTGGAAGTCCAGGACCCATCTGCTGGCAGAGCTGTTCCCCACAAGGCATCTCTGCATGGCTTGCGGATGGCTGCCTTCTTACTGGGACCACATTTGGTGCTGTGAGTGCTCTACTTGTGTTTTTTCTCTGCTACAACACAGGTCCTACTGAATTTGAGCTCCTTCCTGATGAATTCATATGACCTTATTTGCCTCTGTGAAAGCCCTACCTCTAAATACACATTGAGAGGCAAGATATCAACATGTGGATTTGACAAGGACACAATTTAGTCCATTAGAAGAAGGTATCAAAATTGATCTTGTGTCTTGGACAGTTTCCTGTCTAAATTTTCTCAGCATAGGGCTGAGAAAATGTTTTGAAAAATGTTTCCAAGAAAATTTAGTTTTCTCTGCCTGTCTTTCTATCAATTTGTTCTTAAGAGGGTTTAAATTATACCATAAACAAATTCGAGGTATTCTGGTACATTTTATAGTTCTGAGAACAAGTTCACTTTTATTTGTTTCTGAGCAATATTATGTTTTCTCAGTTCACTGACATTCTTCTACATTATGGCATTTCATGAAATAAAAGTAAACAATATCCAATGTTGACGCTATTAATGAAAAAGAGAATGACCTTGGAAATCATTTATATTTTCCCAAAAATGATCACCACCAATGTATTTGTAAGAATAGATAAGTGGAAAGTAATGAAAACATGGTCAATCAAGAAATAAAATGTGTTGGTTCATATGAATATTCCAAAATGCAAAACATAAGTGAAAAGGGGGAAAGGAAATTGTGTTAGTCTGCTTGTAATACCAAAACAGAACACAATAAAAGAAAGAAAGAAGGAAGGAAGGAAGGAAGGAAGGGAGGGAAAGAATTAACCCTTTCAGAAAGAAAGAATTAACACTTTCAGAAAATGGGTTTTGCTTCAAGAATGGAAGGATCCAGGAGTTCAAATTAGATCATTTGGACTGAAACTCTGAAACTGTGTGCTCTCTCTCTCTCTCTCTCTCTCTCTCTCTCTCTTACTTTTGTTTATTTTTCTTTAAAGAATGATCTTGCTATGTTTCTCAGGATGAACTCAAATTCCTGGGCTCAAACAATATTCCTGCCTCCTCCATTTCCTGAGTAGCTGGGGCTAGAAGCATGTAGTTCTCTCCCACTTTTCTCCCTTACTCTTCATGTGTCACATTCTTTGTCAGATAGGCTTTGCTGAGCTGTCTTATCTTTACATTTAGCTGTGTCTGAGAAAAAGTGCCTCCTCCTCCTCCTCCTCCTCCTCTTCTTCTTCTTCTTTTTTGTCTCCACTTGGATTTTGAGCTTTCTCCTTGATTAACTCCTGTATCTGGAGAGGGTCTATATTTATTGCCCAACAAGTGGAGAAAATACTAAATAGTTGGTAAAACAGGATAGTCCCTTCAGAATCCCAGAGTGCAGGGTCCAAGATACAGAAAAAGTAGACCAACATCACTGTGTTGTTCAATAATATTTAGAAATATTATTGCTGCTTATTTATTAGA